AAACTACTTTTTAATCAGACTAGTAAAGATGGGTATTAACTGAATTTCAAATGGAGAATACAGTTTAGTTTTATGAGTTGGCTTGCTTATCTCTTGAAGCTATAATTTCCATGGTATTTTCATTTATGCTGCCAAAAAGGTAATCCTTTTTAGAAATCCTTTTTATCTCTCCAAAATAATAGATTTTTCATATAAATGAATAACTGTCACTTCAAGTGAGATTTTCTGTAACTACCTAAAACCATTTTGCTGAACTTTTATATGAAACATAGATTGTGCCTAAAATGAACATTTTAACATAATTTTATAACATTATGTAGCACAATCTACATACTGGTTATTTAACGCTCTTCAATTTCCATAGAGAAAATTTTAGAATTATATTACCTGAAGGAATAAAGAAAAATTATCTCTTTAAAAAGAGGATTGCAGTATATATATCTTCCATTTCTGAGCTGGACATATTCATTTACCTGAAAATCCTTAGTGTGAGCATCTTATATTCTTAGACACTTGGATAATACTGTTACATAATGCTAGAATCCTACGAAAAAATAGGGTAAGGTAAGATAATTACTGAGCAGCATTTAGGGGTTGTGGGTTATATAGTAATTTGTTCAGTTGTGTGTTTAAAATCTGGCCATGCCATGTGCCGATCCACAGGGCAAGAAGGGTGCAGGAAGGAGGGGGTGCTCTTAAACTTTCCTTTCCAGGGCGCCTGAGTGGCTCAGTCGGTTAAGCGGCTGCCTTCGGCTCAGGTCATGATCCTGGAGTCCCGGGATCGAGTCCCGCATCGGGCTCCCTGCTCGGCGGGGAGCCTGCTTCTCCCTCTGACCCTCCCCCCTCTCATGTACTCTCTCTCAAATAAATAAATAAAATCTTTAAAAAAAAAAAAAACAAAAAACTTTCCTTTCCAGATCACACTCCGGGACCACAATGCCAGTGTGCATATCCTTAAGCCTGAGGGTTTGGCAAGGGGTGGCTGTTTAAGAGGGAGGGAACTTGAATGAGCAAACTGAGGTGGCCACTTTATAGGTGTGTGTGTGTGTGTGTGTGTGTGTGCGCACATGCACCTGCAACATTGGGGGTGGAAGGAGCTGAGGGTTGGAACTCAACACAGTTCATAATACTGTATAGATAATGAATGGATGTTATACGTGTTTAAAATTAATTTAAGGAGTAATAAAAACAAAGTGGCTATCCACTCTCAAGAAGGTTCCAGTCTTATAAGGGAGACAGCATATTTTACTATAAAACAATAAGCCAGCAATTCAAGGCAACATAGGATTGTATTAATAGCTAGCACCTATTGAGTGCTTCCAGTGTTATAAACACATTGCATATATTTTCTTATTTAATCCTCACAGAAACTTTTTTTTTTAAAGATTTTATTTATTTATTTGACAGAGATAGAGACAGTGAGAGAACACAAGCAGGCGGAGTGGGGGAGGGAGAAGCAGGCCTCCCACGGAGCAGGGAGCCCAATGCGGGGCTCAATCCCAGGACCCTGGGATCATGACCTGAGCCAAAGGCAGACGCTGAACGACTGAGCCACCCAGGCGCCCCATCCTCACAGAAACTTATTGGGATTGGTGCTGTTATTGGTTCCTATTTTAAAATTAGGAGATTGAAGTTGAGGTCAACCAAAGTCACATAACCACTGAGTGGAAGAGCCAGGATTGGACCTTGGACCTCATCATGACCCTACAGCTTCTTAGCCTCTCCCACTTGCTTCCTCATAAAGCAGACTTAGAGAAACGGTCGTGGTAAGGTGGAGAGCAGGGAAGGTGAGGGTGGAACACAGGATTGATCCTGAAAAACGGTGCTGATGCTATTGGAATGACACTGGAAAATCAGAGGAGTATTAGCAAGACATGAATTCAAGAAAACACCATTAAAAAAAAAAATTTCACTTCCTATCTCCATATGAATAGTCTTTTCTTTACAGGATCCATTTGAAATGTACAATGAAAGAAGAGTCAGGTTTCAAAAGCAGAATGAAAAGTTCTTTCATTGGAAATACTGGGGTTCTGTGAAGGACAGGCACAAAACTTTAGATATAGAAAGTGCTTTAAATGACATTGGGTACAGTTTTATTTCTGAAAGCAGGAAAATATAATGAAGAATTGTACCATACCTCCACTAGGTCAGTGGGTAAGCAAGTGAGATTAAATCACTCCCTTCTCTTAATAAGCATTCTTTTTATTTGAAAACATTTATTTACTTTCAGAGTCTTAAATTGCTGCAACTGGGCCACCGGATTCTCCTTGTTCCTCACTGTTAAATTCTGAATATTATGTTTAACACTAACTCCTACCTGACAGGTACCGCCAAGAGAGCAGCACACCATCCAAGGACTCAAGCTTCTGTCCTCCTTCAGACCTCAGGAAGCTGTCTCTTCATGGCCAAAGTGCCTTTCGACCCTTACCGACCCCCTCCAGGAGGAGACGTCAGACCACGTCAGCCACTGCAAAGGTTGTCAGTGTGCCATCTTGCACAACCAACACAAAAGAACCCAAGGGACTTCCAGATCACAAAGGTTCTCTAAGTGAAATCCCTTTCAAGTGCAATGGGAACGGAAATGAGTTTTACTTAGGAAATTCCTCCCTGGCCTCCCCTTTACAGAACAACCCAAACCTAGAGAAAAAGGCATCGGAACTTCATTTGTACATTATTTCCACAACGTCATCAATATTTCTGCACTTAAAAAGTTCATGGAACAATTATATTATAGTAAGTGCTCTCGTTAGTTAACTTTGGCTGGAGTGATTTTTTTTAAAGATTTATTTATTTTAGAGAGAGAGAGTGTGAGCAAGGTGAGGGGCAGAGGGAGAGAGAATCCTGAAGCAGGCTCCCCGCTCAGCGGGGAGCCCATCCACATGATCACGACCTGAGCTGAAACCAAGAGTGGCCTCTTAACCAACTGTGCCCCCTCAGGAGCCCCTGGCTGGAGTATTTCTTAAAGCAAACATGCTTTTCCTGCTTCCCCAAATTTCCATTTTGGAAATTTAGCCTTGGAATTTAATAATATGAAAGACAAACACACTGGACAATTAAGGATTTCGTATTATTCAGGCTAAGGAAAATGCTCATTAATGAGGAGTGTCTTAAAGAAAAGGAGATTGACCAGGGGTTCTACAGAGGTGGGTAAATAAGGAAGTCTCCCGGGAATGCTGGAGAAGGAGGGAGAAGGTCTTATCTTGGAATATTTGTGAGCAGGGTGGTCTTTTTCTGTTGGCTGGGGTGATTTCTTAGCTATTTCTTTCAGAGCACAGAGCTCACATAAAGTTCAACACTGTCAATATGTCTCTATTTCTTAGCTGCACTATTGAAAGTAGGTTAATGGGATTCACTGTTACAGGAGCAGGTAATTTTATAGGGATTACCTAGTCTAAGCACCTTATTTTATAAATGAGGAAAGTGAATATTTTAGGTGACTTAAGAGTATATAGTGGGTTTAAGGGCAGAGTCGGAACTTTCATTTAGGGAATCTTTTTATTATACCAGGATCAGTTTTAAAATAAGTAATTTATTAACTGAATAATATGATCCTTTTCAATTGTCTTCAATGATATGTAATTTTTATTAATGATCTTCCAACACAATAATATTAAAGAAATATGAAAGGCTCCATTCAGAAGAAGCTAGGGAAGCAGGAGGTTTTATAAATGGCTAAAACTGAAAGATTTCAAGGCAACTCTTCAGTTGTTTCTCATACACAGTTCAGAATGGTTAATGTTTAAATTAAATGTCTAATGTTCAGGGCGCCTGGGTGGCTCAGTTGGTTAAGCGACTGCCTTCGGCTCAGGTCATGATCCTGGAGTCCCGGGATCGAGTCCCGCATCGGGCTACCTGCTCGGCAGGGAGTCTGCTTCTCCCTCTCCCGCTCCCCCCTCTTGTGCTCTTTCTCTCTCTCACTCTCTCTCTCAAATAAATGAATAAAATCTAAAAAAAAAAAATGTCTAATGTTCAAAATTTCTCCTTAAATTTTTATTTTATTTTAATTTTTTTTAAAAGATTTTATTTATTTTTAAGTAATCTCTACACCCAACATGGGGCTCAAATTTACAACCCTGAGATCAAGAGTCCCATGCTCCACCGACTGAGCCAGCCAGGCACTCCTAAATTTTTAAACAGTGTTTTCCAAATTAAAAATGTAAACAAGTAATAAATAGAGGGGAAACCCTGGTCTATTAAAAGGAGGCCACATATGTTCTAATAGGAAACCCAAAACTTAATCTATCTAAATATTTCAAAATGACTGTTTATGTTTCCCTGACTTGACTAACTCCCAGTTTTAGTACTACTTTTAATTTTTTACTTATTTTATTATTATTACTATTTTTAATAAGATGGTTGAGGTTTATTGGTGTAATGATAGTGAATCAAATAGATTATAACATTTATTTTCATTTTTAAAAAATTATTATTTTTTTAAATTTAAATTTTAGGTATTTAACATACAGTGCAGTATTGGTTTCTGGAGTAGAATTCAGTGGTTTATCCCTTACATACAACACCCAGTGCTCATCATGACAAGTGTAGTACTTACTACTTTTTAACTCTGCAGCAGAGGCATGGTTGGGGCAAGTCAGATGGGCAAACTCATAGCCCTTCTGATAATAAAAGCAATAACAGTAACTGACATGTATTGTTATTAATAGGTAGGATCTGCTTTGATGCTTTCTGTATATTAACTCATTTAATCTGCAAAACAACCCCAGGAGGTAGGACTGTTATTCTCATTTCATAGATGAGGAAATTAAGGCACTGAGAAATTAAATGATATATGCAAGGTTGCACAACTTGCATGGAGCTGAGATTTGAACCTAGGTAGTCTGATTTTTTCCACTGAAATAAATGTGGGTGGAAGGGGGTTATCTTTGAGTTGGTAGATACTATCATTAAAAAATAATGTTCTGGGCGCCTTGGTGGCTCAGTTGGTTAAGTGTCCGACTCTTGATTTTGGCTCAGGTCATGATCTCAGCATTGTGAGATTGAGCTCCGCCTCGGGCTCTGCACTGGGCGTGGCGTCTGCTTAAGATTCTCTCTCTCCCTCTTCCTCTGCCCCTCTCCCCCTTAAAAAATAATAATGTTCTATCCCTTGAAAGATGGAAAATGGGTAAGCAAATATTTCATACATAAATGATGAATCAAGTTAGCCTTCATTCTAGTAAGAATAAGATATTAATTCAATATAAACATGTAAAAAGTTGTGACTTTTGTGACACTGTTTAATTCTTTCATCATGTTGATCACTTTGGTTATTCTTGGTGATGCCTTCATAAGTTTTAGGAAATTAAAAAAAAAATCATCTCCTAAATCAGTCAGACTTATCTTGGCTAACTGATCTCTTCTGCTTTGAGATCCAGAATCCTCATTCATGTTGAGATAGGGAAATGCTACCGGGAAAAAAGAATGGACATTTTAACTCTCTCTATATTTTCAGGTAAACCTAAACCATCCAGTGAGAAATTAGCACTCATTCTGATTTTAAGGATTTCCAAAGAGCTGAGTCTCATTCAGTAACCCATTTTATCTGTAACTTTCATCAACAATAATTACATCTGAGTTCTTTAAGCATCTCAAATTCTACAAAAACAATATATGGCAATTCTTTGCCCTTCATATGTTGTGAAGATAGGTGCTAGAAAGCTAAGTAACTAAGGAGTATCCCCAAATTAAAATTCTAGATTTAAGGGGTGCCTGGGTGGCTCAGTCATTAAGCGTCTGCCTTCGGCTCTGGTCATGATCCCAGGGTCCTGGGATTGAGCCCCGCATCGGGCTCCCTGCTCAGCGGGAGGCCTGCTTCTCTCTCTCCCACTCCCTCTGCTTATGTTCCCTCTCTCACGTTCTCTCTGTCAAATAAATAAAATAAAATCTTTAAAAAAAAAATTCTAGATTTAAAGTAAACATAAACATTTTTTTTTTTTTTTTTAAGTAGGCTCACTCGGGGCTTGACCTCACAACCCTGACATCAAGACCTGAGGTGAGGGGCACCTGGGTGGCTCAGTCATTAAGCATCTGCCTTCCGCTCAGGTCATGGTCCCAGGGTCCTGGCATGGAGTCCCGCATTGGGCTCCCTGCTCAGCAGGAAGCCTGCTTCTACCTCTCCCACTCCCCCTGCTTGTGTTCCTTCTCTCGCTGTGTCTCTCTCTGTTAAATAAATAAATAAAATCTTAAAAAAAAAAAAAAAGAGACCTGAGCTGAGAGCTCAGACGCTTAATTGACTGTGCCACCCAGGCACCCCAGTAAATATAAACATTTAGAGAGAAGCTGTCTTTTTTTTTTTTTAACTTAAAACAATGACAGAAGTAGTAAGAACAGGGGCATCTGACTGGTTCAGCTGGTAGAGCATGCAACTCTGGATCTTGGGGTCATGAGTTTGAGCCCCATGCTGGGTGTAGAGCTTACTTTAATTGGATGTTGGATGTTGGATGTTGGTTGAACATCCAACTCTTGATCTCAGCTCGGGTCTTGATCTCAGGATCATGAGTTCAAGCCCTGGGCTGGGCTCCACGTTGGGCATGGAGCCTACTTAAAAAAACAAACAAACAGATTGTAAAAAACAAAAGTTGTGAGAAAAAGCACATATTTCCCCCCTGCCCACCCACCCATCATCCTGCTCTGATATTAAGAATAAGACAGGGGTAAATTCGTCTGGAGTTGTAAATCAGCAACATTTCAGAAATTCTTTCTGACCTGTTAGGCCTCAGCATAAAATAAAAGATTCTTTAGAGAACTTGTTGAACACTGACCCATTTTTTTGGGGGGACCCAGAATGAATGGAAAATGGCAACACTAAAGATTTAAGGGAAAAATAACCCTATTGATAGGGGAATAGTTAACAAAACTATTATATAATCTATACTATGGAATACTACGTAATCATTAAAACGATAGAAGTAAACCTATATACACAGACATGGAAAACTGTCCACCATATATTAAGTGGGAAAAAAAAGTCCCAGATTAATATATGTGATGTAATTTAGCTAGTATTAAATATGTATTATAAAAATATCATCTAATATGTATATATTATAGATGTATGTTATAAATAATATGTTTTTATATGCCTAAAAGGATATAAACTATACTGATAATAATATAGTAAGGTACTTTGTTGTTATTGTTATTTTTGATTCCAGTATAATTAACATACAGTATTATATTGGTTTCAGGGGTATAGTAAGGCACTTTGACTAGTGGGATGGGATGGGGAGGGAGAGACTTTTATCTTTTAGTTTATTCATTTTTGTACTGTTTGATTTTGATAGATAATTTTACTTTATAATGAGCAAATGTCATGTTTAAAACTTTTTAAAAACTATATAAGGAAAAACAATGCCCTGTGGTATTATTTACATAATCAAATCATGTACTATAGCAGGAATTAAGGAATAGATATATGATATTGACTAAAAGCAGGAGAAATTGATTTTCAGTAAACAGAAATTCTAACTATTCCCACCTTTTTTTCCTCTTTCAGAAAGCTACTCTTTTACAAGATCCCCTATATGTTAGTGAGCTCAGTCCTGCTATTGGAAGTCAAAAGCCATATAGGTAAGGAGTGATGATATGCCAGAGCCGCATGGGGGACTGTTCTCTCCTCTTTGCCTCTCCTAACTCCACGTGTTGGTGCCCATCACATTTATACCTCTACTTCCACTCTTTGCCTTGAATTTTAGGTCTGCAAACATAATTACCCACTGGACATCACCTCTCATAGGTCTTACAAGAACCTTAAAGTCAGCATATTCAAAAGAGAACTCAGCATCTTCCTTCTGGGACCTGAACTTCCTCTTGTGTTTCCTAACACAGGGCTTGCTGTCCTTATCCCCACAACACCTAAGCCAGAGTCCCGAATGTCATCTTTACCTTCTCTCTCCCCTTTATCACCTCCCACCCCCACAGCCAGTCAATCACCACAGGATTCATTGTTTTTTTCTAATATATCTGGATAATATCTACTTCTTTGCACTGTCACATGCTCAGCCCAATTCCCTTTGTTCTGAGCTCCTACAGTATTTTCCTACCTGGCCTCTGCCTTCACTCTTGACCCTCTCTAACCCACTCTCCATAACCAAAGAAATCTTTTGGAAGCACAAATCTGATCATGTAACTCCCTGCCTTAAAGCCTTTGAATGGCTCCCCACTGTCCTTAGGAGAAGGTCTAAACTCTACAATAGCTTATAAAGATCTTCCTGATGTCTCTTTTCATTTTTCCATCTTCAACTCTTGTGTCCCCTCAACTCCTGCCCTAAGCTGCTGATCCAAATGATCTTGCAGTTCTCAGAAAGCTCCCTGTTTGGTTTTTTTGTTTGCTTTTTCCTCTATTCTGGAACCCTACTCTCTACTCTTCTTCTTCATGAATGACTTCAACTCAGCAAGTCTTAGCTTAATATCCCTTTCTCTAAAAATCATTTCTCAAAGCTTCAATAAGAGGGGCCCCTGAGGGGCACCTGGGTGGCTCAGTCGGTTAAGCATCTGCCTCAGGATGGTCTCAGGGTCCTGGGATCGAGCACCCCATCAGGCTCCCTGCTCAGGGGGGAGCCCGCTTCTCCCTCTTCTTCTGCCTGCCGCTCCCCCTGCTTGTGCTCTCTCTAATAAATAAATAAAATCTTTAAAAAAATTTTTTTAAACAGATGGGCCCCTCCATAACATCCTGTGCTTACCATCTTGTAGCATTTAACAGTCTCTCTTATGATTGCTTATTTGATTATGTGCTGCCCTATTATACACTATGCTCCTTAAGGGCCAGGACTGTACCTTGGTCACTGGCACATAGTAGGCTGCCTTTATAGAATGAATGAATAAATTGTTAAAACAATTAAACCTGAATCTGACTTAAAAGTGTGGGCATGTTAGGGTGCCTGGGTGGCTCAGTTGGTTAAGCGACTGCCTTCGGCTCAGGTCATGATCCTGGAGTCCCGGGATCGAGTCCCGCATCGGGCTCCCTGCTCAGCAGGGGGTCTGCTTCTCCCTCTGACCCTCTTCCCTCTTGTGCTGTCTCTCACTCTCTCTCTCAAATAAATAAAATCTTAAAAAAAAAAAAAAAAAAAAAAAGCTTTAAAAAAAAGTGTGGGCATGTTAGCACTGAAAAGGAATGAGGTCTTGACACGTGTGACAACATGGATGAACCTTGAGGAAATTACACTAAGTGAAATAAGCCAGACATAAAAGGACAAATATTGTATGACTCCACTTATTTGAGGCATTGAGAATAAGCAAATTCATAGAAACAGAAAATAAAATAGAGGTTACTAGGGGCTGAGGGGAAAGGGGTATGGGGACCTACAGTTAATCAGTATAGAGTTTCTGTTTGGGAAGATGAAAAAGTTCTGGAAATGGAGAGTAGTGATGGTTGCACAACATTCTGAATGCACTTAAGACCACTGAATTGTATACCTAAAAATGGTTACAGTGGTAAATTTTATATTTTGTATATTTTATTTCAATTTTAAAACAGGTAGGGGTGTGTATGTGTGTGTGTAAGTAAGGGAATAGATAAAACAAGATTGGAAAAATGTTAAAGATTATTGGATCTAGGTGATAGATATATGCTGTTTCTTTTCAATTTTCTCCATTTTTGTGTATGTTTAAAAATTTCCATAATAAAAGTTTGTAAAAGGCTTAAGAAACATAATAAGCAAATATAACAAGTATCTGATTTATATCTTGATTTTAACAAACCAAAAGTAAAAAGACATTTCTAAGACAATAGAGGACATTTGAGTATGGACTGGGTATTAGCCAATACCAAAGAATTATTGATAATTTTGTTGGATGTGATAATGATTATTTTGTAAGAAAATGTTTTATTTTGAGATATGTTCTGAGGTATGTAGGGGTTAAATAACAATGTTTGTGATTTCTTTTTTTGAAAGATGGTAATACAGATAGCTTAGAATTTCTACATGTTTTAAAAATAGAATTTCCATATATTTTCATATGTTTACTTTACAAAAGTATCAGTTTTAATTTTAGTGCTTATTTAAAGTGATTTTAAAACTAATTGGATAATAAAATAGGCTTTAACTTTGTATATGCGTGACTTGAAATTTGTCCTTGAAAGTCAGAAGGAGAGTTCTACCACTATCTTGACTCAGGAAAAGCATATTTCTTGCAAAGTTAATTCCTGAAGGCAACATATTTAAAATGCAGTAATTTAAAATGCACTGTGAGGAATGTGGTAATATGTATAAGATATACAAGACAGTTCTCTGCCTGCAAGGTACCGTCAGTTTAAAGGGAGTAAATACTCTTTGGGTTTTCAAATTAGAACTCTGTCACAAATGTGAGCTCTGTAACCTCACACGGATGCATAGGGACCACTGTGAATATATACACAGTGCTTTTGAGATAATCTATGATAAGCCTTTTCTAGCTTTAAAGCATTATACAAATGTATTATTTATATAAAATATCCTGAAAATGAAAAAATACAGGAAATCCAGAAAAATGAAAAATACAGGAAAAGCAGAGCTCATCATTAGATCAAGAATCCTTCTTGCCACACCTTTTGGGTGAATTTATGTTTTCTAGCTGATGAAAATATAAAATATCTGTTAAAATTAATGAGAAATTTCCCCTTATTCTGAAATTAAATAATGGAGTCTTCTGGCAGTAGACTTTTTATTATTTAAATTAGTCAAAGTTTATCATCTATGTAAAGACAAATATTCTCTGAATGGTCAAAGAAACTGCGACTATACAGAAATACAGACTCCTGAATCTAACTTATATTTATGATGTATATGAGACCTCAATTCATATATGAATTTATTTTTTTATTTTTTAAGATTTTATTTATTTATTTGAGAGAGAGATTGAGAGAGAGAGCACATGAGAGGGGGGAGAGTCAGAGGGAGAAGCAGACTCCCTGCTGAGTAGGGAGCCCGATGCGGGACTCGATCCTGGAACTCCAGGATCATGACCTGAGCCGAAGGCAGTCGCTTAACCAACTGAGCCACCCAGGCGCCCTATGAATTGATTTTTAGTATAAGGAGATTAGTGTGCTTTTTCTTACGAAATTTGGTTATTTATTTATTAAAAGATTTTATTTATTTACTTGAGAGAGAGACAGAGAGCAAGAAGAGAGGCAGAGAGACAAGCAGACTCTCCGCTGAGCGCAGAGCCCACCACAAGGCTCCATCCCTGGACCCTGAGACTTGACCTAACCGAAGTCAGACACTTAACTGACTGAGCCACTCAGACACCCCTGTTTTGGTTTTTTTGAAAGAAAAGTTTGGTATTACAGTCTGTTATCATAGGTGCCACAAGATAAAAACTGTTTCTATATGGATTGCAGCAAATTGCTGACTAATGGGAAAAATAGGAAAGTCAATTTGAAAGTAATTCTGCTGGTATTCTTTCCAAACTTGTGCTTTTCTAAGCTCATCAGTTTGTGAAAACTACATTCCTGCTATTTTTGCAGTTCTCAGAGAATGGAGGAATTTTATAGTTATTTTTTAAATGAAATGTAATTGTAATTAGAAGTGGATGTATAGGGAAGTGGGATCTCAAAGCTCATTCCTATTTTATACCATTTATTAAATACTTACTGTGTGCTAAGCACAGACTAAAGTATCAAAACAATGGGATAGGTACTATAATCCTCTCCATTTTACAGATGAGGAAATTGAGGCACAGAGAGACTAGGTAACTTGCCCATGGTAATTACTCAGCTGAATAGAGGGAGATCTAGAACTCTGATCAGCCTGTCTGACCCCCGTGTTTATAATCGTGTTCTTCTGCCTCTGTGACTTTTTTTTTTTTAAGATTTTGTTTATTTATTTGAGAAAGAGAGCACACATGAGTTGGGGGAGGGGCAGAGAGAGAGAGGGGGAGAAGCAGGCTCCCGCTTCAGCAGGGAGCCCGATGTGGGGGCCGATCCCAGGACCCTGGGATCATGACCTGAGCTGAAGGTAGATGATAAACCAACTGAACCACCCACTCAGTCGTTAAGTGTCTGCCTTTGGCTCAGGTCATGATCCCAGGGTCCTGGAATCGAGCCCCGCATCAGGCTCCCTGCTTGGCGGGAAGCCTGCTTCTCCCTCTCCCACTCCCCCTGATTGTGTTCCCTCTCTTGCCGTGTCTCTCTCTGTCAAATAAATAAATAAATAAATCTTAAAAAAAAAACACAACAAAAAACAACTGAGCCACCCAGGCACCCCCTGCCTCTGTGATTTCTATCACTGAATTCTTGTTTTTTTAAATATTTTATTTATTTATTTGTCAGAAAGAGAGAGCATAAGCAGGGCGAGGGGCAGAGGAGAGGCAGGCTCCCTGCTGAGCAAGGAGCCTGATGCGGGACTCGATTCCAGGAACCTGGGATCATGACCCAAGCCGAAGGCAGATGCTTAACCAACTGAGCCACCCAGGCGTCTCTATCAATGAATTCTTGATGATCATTTCTCTTTCAGGGTCTCCACTAGAAAAGAACTGTTTTTTGGGGAAGTCTCCACTAGAAAAGAGACTGTTTTTTGGGGAAGTTAATAAGGGCGGCTCATTGGGATGCCTGGGTGGCTCAGTCGGTTAAGCGTCTGCCTTCGGCTCAGGTCATGACCCCAGGGTCCTTGGATTGAGTCCCATGTCAGGCTCCTTGGTCAGTGGGGAGCCTGCTTCTCTCTCTGCCTGATGCTCCCGCTGCTTGTGCTCTCTCTTTCTCTGACAAATAAATAAATAAAATCTTTTTTAAAAAAATAAAAGAGCCTCATTGACTGGATAGAGAAGATCTTAGATTTAAAAAAAAAAAAAATGGGGGAGGTAGTGGGCAAGAGCCAAGATTCCATGTAGTAGTATTGGGATAAATGGTTGGTATCAAGATTTATGGAGTAGGTGGTAAAAATATATATATATATATATTTTGACAGAGAGAGAGACAGCGAGAGAGGGAACACAAGCAGGGGGAGTGGGAGAGGGAGAAGCAGGCTTCCCGCGGAGCAGGGAGCCTGATGCGGGGCTCGATCCCAGGACACTGGGATCATGACCTGAGCCAAAGGCAGATGCTTAATGACTGAGCCACCCAGGCGCCCCCCCCTTTTTTATTTTTTGGTAAAAATATTTTTAATTCAAGTCAGAAATTCTAGGAAGTTTCCATCAACCTACACAGAACATGAAATGCCTCTCCTACCATTACTTTGCACCCTTCTTTTCTTTCTTTTTCTTTTTTTTTTTTTTAAAGATTTTATTTATTTATTTGAGAGAGAAAGAATGAGACAGAGAGAGGGCATGAGAGGGGGGAGGGTCAGAGGGAGAAGCAGACTCCCCACTGAGCAGGGCACCGGATGTGGGACTCGATCCCGGGACTCCAGGATCATGACCTGAGCTGAAGGCAGTCTCTTAACCAACTGAGCCACCCAGGTGCCCCTCCACTTACTTTAAAGTAAGCTCCAGTAAGCTCCCAACGTGGGGCTTGAACTCATGACCCTGAGATCAAGAGTCACACACTCTACTGACTGAGCCAGCCAGTATGAACTTGGACAGGTCACTTAACCTCTCTATCATCCTATAAATGCAACAGTAATTCCCAGTTCTGCCCTCTTAGTGGGACTGAATGAGCTAGTCTATGAAAAGTGCCCAGGACAGGTACACAAATCACGACAATGGGGCAAAATAGGATTAGTGTGATATATAAGAAGTGTGGAAAAAGTGCTATGGGAGAGGTTCCCCATTCATGGTGGAACTAGGGAAAGGTTTAAGGGGAAGGTGTTCCTCTTTTCAGCAAAGCCAGCTTTTCCTGAACTGTAGAACACACTTGGGTCAGTGACAAGAGATGAAGGCATTTGGTACTCTGACATGGCAGGAAATAACTTCGAATTCCATAGTGGAAAAGTGATTCCTTTTCCAACTAGTCCAATCTCATTAGGGAGAACCTCTCAGCTTGGTGCCAAAAATGGCAGCTCTCTAACACGTGCTCATCTGCCTTTCTGTCAAAGAGAGGGAGGCCTTAGGCTTGGAATGTGGTGCATCAACTTAGAACTTGTGATGCTTTCATGCTATTTTTACAGTTACCTGCTATTTATGGCACATGATACTGGTTCTCCCTGTAAAGTAGTGATACAAAGTTTTCTTTATAAATAAACTTCTTGGGGCGCCTGGGTGGCTCAGTTGCTTAGGCGTCCGACTCTTGGTTTCAGCTCCAGTCATGATCTCAAGGTCATGAGATCAAGCCCCTGGTTGGGCTCTGTGCTCAGCGTGGAGTCTGCTTGAGATTCTCTCCCTCTCTCTGCCCCTCCCTCTGCTCCCATGTGTGCGTGCACGTGCTTGTTCCCTCTCTCAAATAAATAAAATCTTACATAAATAAACTTCTCTACACACACACAAAGTGAGTTGATTTAAAGAAAAAATATGAAGCAAATAATATTACGTATGGTTCATTCAGTATGGTAAATGGTATGTGGACAAACCATGGGCTAGGGAATGAAAGAGGGACAACAGTTTCTGAGGGACACTGAGAGTATTCCTGATGTGCTGGATACCACTTGAGTAAAGGGGCATGGGGAAAAGTATGTCTGGAGAGTAATAAAAAGTTCAATCTGGGGAAAGCAAGGTTCATTACTAATGAGTAATAAAGCTAGAAGCACAAAACTATATTAAAATTCCATTAGTAACAAAGTTTTACAAACCTGTCAATAATCGTTGATATTCCTCAATTGCTGTTTACCATTTTTCACATGGAAATTTTTTTCTTGTGTTTCTGTAGATCTGAGGAGAAAATTAAGCACTTCAGTCAACTTAAATCTGAACTTTTTCTTAAAGACAATACTTTGAGGAAGATATTTTGCTTAATTACGGAACTTAAAGTAGCAACCCAGAAAAACTTCATTCTGAAACGGCTTTTCTGGAAAGTAGGTGTTTTGTTTTATTTTTAATCTTTGAAACTTGTTCCACCTGTTTATTAAATGCAGTATAATCAAGCATAAAGTAAAATACAAATAAATGTCTTGTATTCAGAGCTGTATTTTATTTTATTTTAGAGGGAAAGAGAGAGAGAGCATGTGGGGGTAGGGAGGAGCGCAGAGGGAGAGGGAGAGAGAGAATCCTCCAGCAGACTCCCCACTGAGCGTAGAGCCCCAAGTCGAAATCAAGAGTCAGACTCTCAACTGACTGAGCCACCCAGGTGCCCTGATGGAGGCTGTATTTTAAAATGTTGACTAAATTTAATGCAATCATGACTCAGTACTTGAAATGTAACATAATCCATAATGTGTATGTGTGTTGCAGGGGAGATGGGGAAAGAGGACAATGGCAGCAAAAAGACAATACCTTACCTGGGTTGGGTTGGTGAGTCAAAGATAATTAGAGGGGAAGCTTCTGGCATGCAAGATGTATGAGTATAGACAGTGAGATGGAAAAGCAGATTTCAAGAAAGTTTTACCTTAAAACTTACAATAAGTATACAATAAAAATATAATGAAAAAAGATTACTTTTGAGTGTAGGACTATTATTTTTAAAAAAGGTGACTCTTAGGGAGTCAAAGCAGCCTAGTGCTCACTCAGCAAGTTACAGAGTTACTCTACAAGACTTACTTATCTTCAGTTTCAGTTCCAGGTGAAGGGATTCAGAAGCCCCAGTGAGTACTGGTGTGGTGCTAATGAGGCCTAAGTGAGGGGGTGAGCCTTGCCTTGGGTGGAGCTCATGTTGACTGCTATATGTTGTATCCGAATTCTGGCCAGTGGTCTCATAGTTGGCAACCTTTTATTGAGCAGCTGTAAAGTGCACAGCTTCCCCAAACATACAAGACAGTCCTGGCCATTTCTTAGATTCTACGTGCTTCACATGTAGGATGACCAACCATGTGGGTTTGCCCAGACTTGGGTGACCAACGTTCCCAGTTTGCCTAGGCCTGAGGAAGTTCGCAGGATATGGGACTTTCTGTACAAAACCTAGGACCATCCCAAGCACACTGGGATGGTTGATCACCCTAATTAGAGGGCATATTAGCTATGTAGAATAGTATGTCAAATGTCCTGTAACACTGAAACAGTAAACGATGATGTTGTGCTACAGTCTAAAGGCTTATACTGCCTACACCATGTTAGGAATAGAACATTCAGGTTTTGACTCCAAAACTTCAGAGGACTGTGGAGAATATAGGGCCAGGCATCGAAATGACACCCAAGATGATTATGAACATGGAAATGGAGTTCATGTGGAAAGGCTAAGGAAATTGGTATATCCCACCCAAATATTCCTCTCCAGTCCATCCCACACATGGCATCAGTTTAATCTATCACTGTGTTGACCTCGCTGGCTCAAAAACCTCTGGTGGCCCTCCCTACTAAGTACAAATACTTTGGCTTTGGCATTTAAGGCTCCTCACTAATGACCACTGTCACAGACTGCAAGTTTGGACAGGCATGGCCTTTATTTTAGCAAGGTGGGTTTTCAGGAAGGGGCCAACATCTATCTACATAGGGCAGGCACTGGGCGAACTAACCCAGCCGTAGATGCTCCCAGGGAAGGCCCAGTGCTCAAGGGTGAGAGTGATCTCTACATAGTGTGCAAAATGAAACATCAGGGCATTCCAGCATGTGGGTGGATTACACCCAAATGTCTGCACAAACATTTGGCACCAGGAAGATCTGACTGTTTAGAGTTTGGCAACAGGGTCTCATGGAATGTTGGGTTGGGGAGGTGACAAGGATAAAAAGGTTGTCAAGAGTAAACCTAGCAGCTGAGAGAGGACTGGCAAGGGACATAGCACAGGGCCCAGAGAAGTCCACTTAGATAAACTGGACACTATCATGAGACTGGATTTAAAGCAGATGGCTAGGTAGGAGAACTGAGGTACCTCCTACAGGTTAGACTAGGAAGAAAGGTGTTGATGTTGAATACCAGAGTGTTGGTCTGCAGGCCATTTAAGTGTCTCTCATCTTAAAATGGGCCTGATGCAGGTGGCTTTGGCTGTGGAGCAAAAGAAAGATGTAGAGAAAGAGAATGAAGCTAGGCCTAACCAACTCAACCCCACACTTCATTGTTTTCACCTTTTTCCTCTAAAAGCTCCAGGCACGTGGGATGACTCAAACACCCTGTCCTTTCCAGCCCTTCCTCATTTTCCCCTACTGTTCACCGTCTCTATGCTACTCCTTCCATTTTTTCCTGTTAAAATCCTACCCACTCATTCTTTAAGGCTCAGCTCAAATGCTGTTCTTCCACCTTTCCTGTCATCCTCCACGGGGAACTTTGGAAACTTCCTCTTCTCATCTGTTATGGCAGAACTTTCTTCAATGTTCTTTAATCTGTGCTGTTCAATAAAGTAGCCACTAGCCACACTGAATGTGGCCAGTGACTAAGGAAGTGAAATTTAAATTTTATTCCATTTAATCAATTTAAATTTAAATAGCACCATGTGGCCAGTGGCTACCTATTGGACAATGCAGTTCTATGGCATCTCTCATAGCACCTTCTCTCTAACAATTCAACAAATATTTACTGCATGCCTGTTCTGTGCCAGGCATGGGAACAGGCATTAGAAAAGCGAGCATGAGTAAGATAGAGTTCGTACCCTCAAGATTAGCACAGATACTCTCCTTTTCACTATAGTCATTGGCATATTATTCTTATTTACCATTATATGCTATAAGCTTCTTTAGGACAAGCATGTGTCTTACTCATCTTTGTATTCTCCCTAAGGCCTAACGCAATGCCATGTTTATACCAGGCGCCATAATCAATTCATATTGAACTGAAAGTTTATTCTCTTGTGAAAAATTAACCTGATCAGAAATCTAGGAATAGGAAACAAACTGAGGGTTGCTGGAGAGGAGGGGCGTGGGGGGATGGAGTAACTGGGTGATGGACATTAAGGAGGGCATGTGATGTAATGAGCACTGGGTATTATATAAGACTGATGAATCACTGACTTCTACCTCTGAAACCAATAATACATTATATGTTAATTAATTGAATTAAAAAATATTTAAAGAAAGATGTCTTTTAAAGTAAATTTATCCAAGTAAAAAAGTTAAAAAAAAAAAAAAAAGAAGTCTAGGAATAGAACATTCATGTTCTGTTGCTTAATTGAAAACATTGCAGCTGTCCTTTAATGTAATGTCCTTAGATGGACTAAAATAGATCTTCTAATTCAGCTGTCAAAAATGAGAGGCCAAGGGGCGCCTGGCTGGCTTAGTTGGTAGAGCATGTGACTCTTGATCTCGGGGTCGTGAGTTTGAGCCCCATATTGGACATGGAGCCTACTTAAAAAAAAAAAAAATGAGAGACCAAAATGAATAGAGAGGGAAATAAAAGGCATATGGGCAGTCTCCTATTTGTGGTCTTTCCACACATGGTGTGGGTCCTCTGCCCACCACCATGCCACCAAGACCTGGTAGCCTTATGTTCTCTTTCTTTAATCCATAACCACAATCTAGTCTCATATTCGCTTATACAGTTAACATATATAATAACAAACGTCAACATTTTTATCTTCTTTTAAGAGCTTTTTTCTTTTATCTTTTTATTAAGTGGGCTCCACTGGAGCCCAACGTGGGGCTTGAACTCACAACCCTGAATCAAGACCTAAGCTGAGATCAAGAGTCAGACACTTAACTGACTGAGCCACCCAGGGACTCCTAGGAGCTTTTTTCTTTAAACAGTTATCATGGCTTTATGCTTAAGCAGTGGCCTTCCAACTTTGTGCTGGGTTCCCTGGAGAACATGAGGCTGTGTGAAGCTTCCTTAAGAACCCTTCACTGGGGTGGCGAGATTAGAGGCATCTCTAATTTTTGGTTCCTGGGTAAGATGATGGAAAATTATACATATAATAATTTCATATAAATAAAATCTTACAAATATATATAATTGTATATAAATATATTATGTATTATACATTATAAATGCACACACACACAATTTCCCCTTTTGAAATCATCTGTATGGGGTATAATTTTCTTTTAGGTAATCTCTCTCTCTTTTTTTTTTTACAATTTTCTTACAAATTATGAGAACCTTTTTTGGTAGGTTGACTAAACTACAGGCTTTAGGACAGATACCATGTCTGTTTGTCTGCTTTGCTCAAGGTAGTATCTCATTACCTAGCATAGTACCTGCTACATACCTGGCAATCAGTAGTTAGGTGTTCAGTGAATGAATGAGTGAAGGAAAGAGTTCTCCATTCATGTTCCTTCCTAACCCTTTTTCTCCATGAGGTTCTTTTTTAATTCAACAATTGTTTTTATTGTGGTAAAAAACACATAGCATAAAATTGTAAATTTACAGGGTCCAGTGGTATTAAGTAGGTACATTATTGTGCAACCATCTCCAGAACTCTTTTCATCTTGCAAAACTGAAACTATATTCATTAAACATTAACTCCCCATTCACCCCTTCCTCCAGCCCCTGGCAGCACCATTCTTTTTCCTCCTATGAGTTTAATTTCTCTAAATATCTCATGTAAGTGGAATCACTCAGTATTTGTCTTTTTATCACTGGCTTATTTCACCTAGCATGTCTTCCAGGTTCATCAATGTTGTTGCATATGTAAAAATTTGCTTCCTCTTTAAGGCTGAATAATATTCCATTGTATGTAAAGACCACATTTGCTTATCCATTTTCCATTGATGGCTACTTGGGTTGCTTCCACATTTAAGCTATTGTGAACATCACCATTGTGAATATGGGTGTGTAGATATCTCTGAGATCTTGCTTTCAATTCTTTTGGGAGTGTACCCAGAAGTGGGATTGCTGAATCCTATGGTAATTCTATTTCTTATTTTTTAAGGAACCATCATACTGTTTTCCACAGCAGCTGCACCATCGTACATTCCCACCAACAATGCATGTGGGTTCTAGTTTTCTCACATCTTTGTCAACAGTTGTTATTTTCTGATTTTTTGTAGTTTTGATTTGCATTTCTGTAATGATTAGTGATGTTGAGTATTTTTTCATGTGCTTTTTGGCCATATGTATATCTTCTTTGGAGAAATTATTGGGATATTTTAAGGGTTTTGGTTTAAAGAGTTTTGACAAATGTACATACCTGTATAACCACCACCCCAATCAAGATTTAGAACACTTCTATCGGGCGCCTGGGTGGCTCAGTTGGTTAAACGACTGCCTTCGGCTCAGGTCATGATCCTGGAGTCCCTGGATCGAGTCCCGCATCGGGCTCCCTGCTCGGC